ACAGAGGAGAGAGCAGGTAGCCTACAGCGGCCAGGGTCTGGAGCAAGACAGGTGAGAGAGCAGGTAGCCTACAGCGGCCAGGGTCTGGAGCAACAGAGGTGAGAGAGCAGGTAGCCTACAGCGGCCAGGGTCTGGAGCAACAGAGGTGAGAGAGCAGGTAGCCTACAGCGGCCAGGGTCTGGAGCAACAGAGGTGAGAGAGAACAGGTAGCCTAAAGCGGCCAGAGTCTGGAGCAACAGAGGTGAGAGAGCAGGTAGCCTACAGCGACCAGGGTCTGGAGCAACAGAGGTGAGAGAGCAGGTAGCCTACAGCGGCCAGGGTCTGGAGCAACAGGAGAGAGCAGGTAGCCTACAGCACCCAGGGTCTGGAGCAACAGAGGTGAGAGAGCAGGTAGCCTACAGCGGCCACAGTCTGGAGCAACAGGAGAGAGAGCAGGTAGCCTACAGCGACCAGGGTCTGGAGCAACAGAGGTGAGAGAGCAGGTAGCCTACAGCGGCCAGGGTCTGGAGCAACAGGAGAGAGCAGGTAGCCTACAGCACCCAGGGTCTGGAGCAACAGAGGTGAGAGAGCAGGTAGCCTACAGCGACCAGGGTCTGGAGCAACAGAGGTGAGAGAGCAGGTAGCCTACAGCGGCCAGGGTCTGGAGCAACAGGAGAGAGCAGGTAGCCTACAGCGGCCAGGGTCTGGAGCAACAGAGGTGAGAGAGCAGGTAGCCTACAGCGGCCAGGGTCTGGAACAACAGAGGAGAGAGGAAGTAGCCTGCAGCGGCCAGGGTCTGGAGCAACAGGAGAGAGCAGGTAGCCTACAGCGGCCAGGGTCTGGAGCAACAGAGACTGAGGATGGGTGGGGCAGGGAAGGTCTCAGAGCTGTGGGTGAGGGATTGAGGTAATTAATCTGGCGACTATCTTGGCCGGGAACTTCCAGGACGATGGAGTTAATGGTAAATATATGAGAAGTGAAGCCTCGCTGGATGGATGCTGGAGCTATCTTGCCTTGACTGATGATTACCCTCCCTGCTCTCTCTCTCTCTCTCTTCCCAGCCCCTACTGTCCCTGTGTGTGTGTGTGTGTGGTGTGTGTGTGTGTGTGTGTGGTGTGTGTGTGTGTGTGTGTGTGTGTGTGTGTTGTGTGTGTGTGTGTGTGTGTGTGTGTGTGTGGTGTGTGTGTGTGTGTGTGTGTGTGTGTTGTGGGTGTGTGTGTGTGTGTGTGGGTGTGTGTGTGTGTGTGTGTGTGTGTGTGTGGTG